TCAGGGCTCCTTGAATTAAGGTATAGGCTACTCAACGGATACCTTTCAGTTATTGAAAACAACTATACATGCAGGGCCTGTATTAGAACAGATTGAATGCAAATAAAGATATGAGGATACAGTCATCCTCTATTAAGCCAGACATGAGAGATTTGCAAAATTGTAAATAGTGTCATTCTTCTCACTAAACTTTCATTTTTAGAAGTTATTTTTCATAAACCCACTATTTTTTCAACAAACCCAGTGTTTGTTTTTTCAATACTTAATCATTTTTAAGTGGTTGTAATTCTGTATATGCTAAATATTGATAGAATTCATCTATATAAACAAAATCTCTCTGGGGTCTTCAATATCTTTTCAGACTGTAATGCAGTCCCTAAACCCAAAAGTTTAAGAACCACTGGGCTACAAAGGCTCTGTCATATTTTTCACCATGACACAAGCTTAAAAACCACAATGAATTGCTTCCTTACTAAAATGGGGTTCACACAAAGCTAGCTTATTTACAATTGTTTCCCAAGGCTAAACACTCTTAACCATACTTAATGTTTTTATTGCACATGACAAAATTGCTGCAAAGTGTGGTGAAGAAAGCATATGGTGCCCGGCTATCAACTGGAATAGCATCTAGAGTAGCGGTTCTCAACCTGGGCTCGTGACCCCTTTGGGGTTAAATGACCCTTTCACAGAGGTGTTTTCTGATGGTCTTAGGAACTGAGACACTGCTCCTCCATCTGTCTCCAAGAGGGTCCGCCCACAAGCAGATACGAGTACCCTGTGTGAAGACAGTTACCCATGCTATACCATGCTTCAAGACAAAATTTCATTTGTCATTAAAAATATTTCACAATATATAATTACATATTATTTTTGTGATTAATCACTATGCTCTAATTATGTTCAATTTGTAACAATGAAAATACATCCTACATATCAGATATTTACATTACGATTCATAACAGTAGCAAAATTATACTTATGAAGTAGCAACGAAAATAATTCTATGGTTAGGGGGTCACCACAAGAGGAAGTGTATTAATGGGCTGCAGCATCCGGACGGTTGAGAACCATTGATCTACAGTGGGAAAGATTTGGATTCAAACAAGCAGCTATCTAAGTGAGGATCAAGTACGTCCATATGGAAGCATCCCACCAGCCTACCTGTGTGATCCAAAGATAACAAAATCCAAACATGATGATTAAAATATCAGCTTCAATTGTGAACACCCAATTTGTAGAAGGCCATGGAGGGCAGTGGAAACCCAAAATCCATCTATATATTGTCAGATTAAGCCTCTGACAGATTTCCTCTAGCCACAGAGGAGGGATTCAAGCAGTGTTTATTGTTTTATGGGGAAACTGGGCAGGGTGGAGTGGGAAGGGTGAATGGAACTGGGGAGCACCAGAACTGATGATGATGATGTGCAATACAACACTTTTTAAAAGCAACTTAACTATGGGAGTGTATGACATGTGAATATACCAAGAAAACTACTACTAAAAAAGACAAAAACTAAACTTGACCCATGGTTCCCATGGGTGAAGGAGGAAGTTGCTGCTTAGGGGGGCAATAAATTTATTTTAATGGTGGTAAAACCATTTGGAGAGTGATATCAATAATGGTTGTACCACACACAGAGAATAATCAATGGCAATGAATTATACATGTAGAGGTTGTTGAATTGGAGATGGTTTTGTGGTGTACTTTTGGCAAAATTAGGAAAAAAATCACATGAATACAATGAAGAAAAAAATGTTCTAAAATTGATCATGGTAAATATTGTACATCTCTTCTTGATAAGATTTAACTATTGAATTGTATGGTATGTGGATGAAGTGCCAATAGAACTGTTAAAAAATAAATAACATTGCTGCATTCAAAAGAGAAGTTTGAGAAGTGGATGAAGAATGAATTATAGGGACTACGAGGTATTGTCATCCGTTCATTTGTTATAAAAATAACAGCGTTTAAAGTGGTAGAGGATTGATCTCCCATTTTCTTTTGACAACATAAAACCCTAATCTAGTAATACTAGAGGGTACAAAGATTTCCTAGTTGGCCTCTGTAACCAAGTTTCTGTGCATTTGAATCCTTAAACAGATCACAATGAAAAAAAATTCCTTGGATGTTATGGAAGAGGAATATTACAGGTTCTACTCATTCCTTCGTGAAAAACAAAAACACTGCCTTTCATCATTTCAGTTAGTCCAAAATTTCCTTTAAATCTTCTATTTTCTGATTAACTTCTAACAGATTCACGTTCAAGCTTGAGACAGCCTGCTTTCAAGGGGAGCTGCCAGTGAACACCAGATGTTGATACAGATGCAGTGCAAGATGAAACAGCTAAAGGTAGCCTTTAAGAAACACTTGTTAACTAAACGTGAAGGCCAAGAACATTTGCACAGATAAAAATCTCAACCCATTTGTTCGAAGTATAGGAAGGGTCTGGTCTAGTATTATTTATCTTTCAACCATAAAAGTAGTACTTGCTGCATTAAGAATAAGGATTCCATTTAAATCATTCAGACTTCCCAATGTACTAATTAGTCAGAACGGGAGGCTGCATTCACTTTGTGGTCTGTGATGTCACCTTTGCCTTTGGCACTAAATTGAGTGACTAACAGATTCATTTAAAAAAAATCATTTTATTGGGGGCTTGTACAACTCTTATCACAATCCATACATACATCCATTGTGTCTAGCACGTTTCTACATGTTTCCCTCATCATTCTCAAAACATTTGCTTTCTACTATTTGCTTTTCCCCCCTCCCCTCCCTGCTCCCCCCAGCTTCACTTCTTTAAAAACATACTTCATCTGCAATGCTGACCTATGTGCTGTGTTTTAAAATAGACTGGAGTCAAATCTAATAAGGATGTCAATTTGATGGCCGTTTCCATGAAGATTACCAGGCCGGTCTTCTGTGGCACTTCTGGGTGGGTGTGAACCACCAACCTGTAGGTCAGTAGTATAGTTTTTAATTTTTGCGCCACCCGGGGGCTCTTGCTATATGGTCCTGGATCTCACTCATTAATTCTGCTCATTTTCTCAAAATGAACGATCCAGTTTGAACCAATTAATCAAGACACATGAGGGTCTTGAGGTTATTAGCAGTGTAGCACCAGATATCTAATAGTCTTTTGACATCGAAGGAACTTGATTGTAATTAATTTTTCTTATACTTGAATCTCCTAGTTTTACATAAGGAAATATCTTTTTTTTAAACAGTGTACAAAAGTTACTTCACATTCTTTTGTTCTTCAGCCCTGTGTATTTCCTGCCTCCCAGACACCAGTTTTCCCTTCTCTCCATCCTGCTCAGTGCCTTTCTAAATCTGATTCGTCCCTTTGGTAGTTTAAAATGGTTTCTGTAACCTAATCCTGAATGGCATCCATTCTAGGACAGACATACATACATACATATAGAATTATGCAATAAACAAACATAAACACTTGTTGAAATTTATTGAACAAATATAGTTGGCTTGAGAAAAGATATGCAAACTAAAGTCCCTCAAACTAATGATTGTACTGACACCTCCAGTTTAAAGAAATATGAATGTGACAGATAATGAACTGTATTTTTTAACAGTGGGGGAAGAAAAAAATTTAGGGGGGTGCGGGGGGAGAACATTTTACAATTTAAGATCCTCACATTTGAAAACCAACAGGTGAGATAAAACAGAGAACTTAACTTTATTTGACTTCTACTTTCTGGGAAGAAAATTAGCATGGTGGAATCATTTAATGAAAACTTTTGATTGTCCTGGGAATTAAGATATCCATTCATATGGATATGGATGTTTTACTGTATAAATATCCATTTACTATGTCCAAGAAATAATGTGTTTCATCAACATTATTTTAAAACTTTTTTCTTTTCATTTAAAAAAATCATAATGGTTCCCTGGCAGTGACGACCTCCCCAAGTGATCACACCTCTCGCAAAAGATCTCCTCTATCCCTCTTCAGAAGAGAAACACAAGGAGCAGCCCTAATTTCTACTTCCAGGACGTCAAATGCCCAGGCTGCTATAAAGTCACCACGGTCTATGGCCATGCACATACAGTGGTTCTGCGTGTTGGCTGCTACTGTCCTCTGTCAGCCGACACGAGGAAAAGCCAGACTCAAAGAAGGATACTCCTTCAGACGGAAGCAGCACTAAAAGACCCCGAATCAAGAGGAGTGGGAGCCATCCCAACAAACCCATTTTGGATACATCCTGGGAGAAAAAAAAATCAGCATGCATCTGATTGAGTGAGGTGCAGAAATGCTTGACCTACTTGGTCTGGAGAAGTCATTCATTACTGGAGGCTTCATGCTGTTTGAAATACCACTCAACAGGTTTAAATCCCAGAAACTGGTATTATGGTCATGCCAGAGCAACCTTATCATTTTGAACATACGTGGGCATGATGATCTAATGTCTAGACATTCTTTTTTTTTTTTGTCTAGACACATTCTAGGTCACAAGCAAAAAGCAAACTTCTACTTGTGTGTGTTCAGCAGTGTACATGTTGAACTCCTTTTGGGTAAGGTATGCCTTGGACAGTGCAAGATATAACAAAATAATAACATAAATTATCAAGGGTTCATGAGGGAGGCGGGAGCTGGGAGGAAGGGGGGAAAATGAGGAGCTGATACCAGGGGCTTAGGTAGAGAGCAAATGTTTTGAGAATGATGAGGGCAATGACTGTACAAATGTGCTTTACACAATTGATGTATGTATGGATTGTGATAGGAGTTGGATGAGCCCCTAATAAAATGATTTAAAAAAAAAGAAGAAAGAAATGTAATTGGAATTCATTCTTTGGGTCTAAGGATCTCTCCTTCTGAATACCTAGCCCCATTTGTTATTATGCAAGTATTTTTCTAACAACTTAAATTTCTCTGTTAGGAATATCTTTAGTAAGGGTTTAAGAGCCATATAAGGATGTTAACATTTTACTAAGCAGAAGCTGTTTGCTTCTCTACCCTTTGAAAGCCAAACAGAAAACAAAGTGTGTTACTAACATTTTCTATTTATTCATTAATAAAAAGTGCATAGTACAAGCCCTTTATCCCAATCCAAGTACTCAGGAAAATATTAACGAGAAACCCTGGATGGCACAGACATGATTTGTTTGGCATGATTTAAACATTTAAAAACAGCAATTAACATTTAGTTTATCACATGACCACTTTTGCTTTTAACAAAGTAATCATCAGACATGGCAACAGATACAGATGATTTTTCATTTAGAAATATTATGTAACATTACGACTAGACCTGTTATTGCAATGACAAAAATGTAACTAACCATTTAGTATAAACTCTCTTAAATTTTCCTTCACCAAGCTGCTGTATTTTGCATCTTAAATTGAGCTGAGCCAATTTTCTTTTTTTTTTTTGAGCTGAGCCAATTTTAGCACATATTCAAGTGATAGCCTTTCTTTCAGGGTGATAAGACTTCCACGGTTCTGTTGAAAATAAACCTTTAATTCCATAACACTATCATATCACAAAGAGTAACCATGAAATAGCCAGATGCAATAGTTACTTCTAAAAAAATCTCAGCAAGTTATAAAATCTGATTTGCTGACCATGGAATAGTGGTTGGATAGCTATATGATTATCTTTTAATATAAATATTTCCAATGTTAACTTTTTCCGCAAGGGAAGGAAAATATTTTGCATGAAAGAACAATAAGTGACCCTAAAACAATATAAACTCTTAATGATGGTTGTGGAATGTCTAAGATCAAAAGGAAATGAAAATGCAGGGTTTTATATCTTTCTTTTTTCCAGATTATTTTTTTTAAGTTGTAGCCATGGTTCAGATGAATGTTTTAAACAGTGCTCCCAATGAAAGAAAAGGCCACAGGTAGAAGTTTTAAGAATGAAACAGAATAATATCAATTACTTGTTAGGCTAAGCAGCATATTTTATATGCACTACACTGTCTTTTTCAGTAATGCAGAGAAATCTTACTAGCAACCACCCCCCAAAAAAACAAAACAAGATGAAATACATATTACTGACATAAAAACTTTTGTGACTAAGAAGGGTCCATATAGGAAAAGGCTAAAATCCTAGATATAATTTTAATTAAGTGTGTGTGATTGAAATAAAGGATTCAGGGCAAGAATCCAGATATTCAGGTCTCTAGCCAACACTCAGAATTTGGTTTCTGTTTTTCACACGACAGCCAGTTCTCAATCACTTGTAAGCTGCAGATTAACAAAAAAACAAACGGCAGATTCAGTGTATACTTCAGTTCTCTCTTTTGGGGTTGGCTTTCTAGCAGCTTGGAGGGCAGATTGTTGGGTTATAGGCATATTCCTTCAATGTTGAGGGGGCAAAGTCAGAAAGATGGAATACTATCTGGGTTGAGTTCCATTTTCTGATGTGCCTGCCCTTTCTGTCTTAAACATGTGGCCAGTTTTAGGCTCCACCAGGAGTAAAAACCTTGACTGTGCTGCTCCTTTATCCAGGATCTAACTTACCTATGTTATGTTACCAATCTATCAGCACAGTGGTTAAGAGTTGATTCTATTATTTCAAGAAGTCGAACACAAAGCCAAGATACACAAGGAGGGATGAGGGCGTCAATATTGTGTTTGTGAGGAAAGGCTGCCCTTGTGGCCTAGAATGTGATCATAGTGAAGGTATGGAAACAACAAAATTCCACGAGGATGTTAACTGAGACTCTCTTCAATAATAATATAATGATATAGAGAAGTTTATTCAATTTATACAAGTAATCTCTCAGATGTATAAAATAAAAAGCTAGGTTGATCTAGGGGGGGAAATCCTTATACTGATAGCAAAATCTCTATCAAAATAGCCCGCACAGTCATCTGCAATTACTTGTTCAGAAAAAATTCCATAACCAAGGTCATGCAGACTTTAAAAAAACAGTCATCTGCATTCTTTTTTTCTAACTGCACAAAGCAGTGCAATCTTTTACTTTTGTGCATATTTCTAAACCTTACTTATATTAAAGCTCATCCCTGTCTCTGTCTGTGCAGTGCCCAGATACGAAGGAGAGGAAGTGAAAAAAAAAAAATCCTTGATTCTAATTTTCTTCCCTTTCCCCTAGAGTAAGCCAATAACCTATTTTTAAAATTTTAAAGTCAGAACAATAACACAGGCCTCAAATTTATTTTCTTCAAATTAAAAAACAACAACATTCAATTCAAATGTCAGTAACCACACAGGCCCCAATATCACTCTAAGGGGAATTGTTAGAACAGAAGCTTCCCAAGATGCACTCGTTTTAACAATAAATTATAGCCTAAATTACTACTGTATAGATTATACCTGGCAAAGGCAGAAAGAGTTTATTTTGTCCTCCTCTCAAGAACCCTCTTAAGGCTAATGTAGAGTAAATGACAAGTATCGTTACACTGGACTGTTAAACACCCACCACACCAATCAATCAAATGGAAAGTTTAACATTAGACACATTTCAATGGGAGTAAAACACTTTGTAAGCAATCCTTTCATTTCTTCTCTTTTCTAATTCTACCCACATACAGCAATTGTAGCAGATGATACAGATTTCAGCTAAACTTTGTAAAATATTCAAAATGCTGCCACAGTCCCAAGCAAAGAAAATAACCATCCACAAATAAACTCTCAGGGTAAATGCAAGTATAGTATGATTCTAATTTTCTTTCATTCACTCTCAGACAAACCCAAGTAACTTTATAAATATCTTATGCAAAAAACCCCCACCACTTTTAAGCTTAAAAACTATTTAAAATATTTAAATGCATAGGTCTCAAATTTCCTTCAATCAGGTCAGAAAAATCATAAACAAATTATGATCACACTTAAATAAAATGAATGGAATGTTTAGGATAACTGGGGGAAAATCCCATTAACTTCTTTAATATTTACTCAATATTCTATAAGTAGGAATGATGGTAATACAGAAAACAAAAAATAAGCTTGCAAGCAAGTGAAATTTCTAGAAGCTTATGAAAAACAGTATCATCCCATATTGTAGATGCAAAAGCAAAAACCATTCTAATGGGGTTAAGAGTACTCTGGTCATCTTCGTTCATTTGGTCGTGCAATGTGTTTAGCTATTTTCACTTCTCAGATCACAAAGTTAGTCCACAGGTGGGGCTGGTGGCTCTTGTCCCTGGCATTAGAAAGAGATAAATTACGTAATTCACATTTCTAGTCCCAGTGAAAGCAATCTAACACATACAGTAATAACAGTGTAGCAATACCCCTACCTCCTCATCTCAAATCAAGTATTTATTTGGACTTTTCATACATTTTTAAGGCAGATTAACACTGTGATTCCCCAACTTTTATCCCCTTCTTCCCTGTGGTATGGAATAAAGAGAAGTTGTTTAACAGTGATATGATAGCTCTCTTCGCCAACTTTAGGGGTAAGTGGTCTTTAAACTAAAAAAGGCAGTCTCATACCTCTGGGAAAGTAACTCATTGAGTATAGTAAATGTTTCTCTTAAGATGACAGTAAAAAAGCTTATGGTTCCAGTTGCTACTGACATCATCTTCAGAATAAAGCTGACAGAGGTAAGAAAGTGGGGTTTTGATGACACTGCTAAGCTTGTTGAACTAGTTACTCCAAACACCCACCTTTATTGTGTAAACAATAAAGTCATTTATTGTTTAAACCAATCTAAACTGCCTTTGGTTAATTGCAAAAGAGAGCTGTAATGGAGAGTTAAGAGTTTTTAGGAATTTTCAGAGAAACTCAATTTATTTACCCTACCATGCTATATTAGTTCCTACTTTTTCTCTTTGAAATTATATTCAAGACAGTTTCATGCCTATTGCTAGGGCAGTGGGACTGATCTTAGAACCATTACTTTACAATAAACAAAGGTCCAGAAGGCTGTTACCTTGCCTTTCTGTCACCTTTAATAAATTATAAGTCTGTTTATTAAGTTGGGTTTCTTTAGTTCCAAACATCATGAAGCCAATAAAGCGATAGGGAACCAGTTGCTATTGAGTCAATGCTGACTCATGGTGACCTCACTTGAGTCAGAGAACTGTGTTCTAAGGACTTTTAAAGGTTGGCTTTCTGAAGTTTGTTGGAAGACATTTCTTCTGATCTACTTCAGAGTGGACTCAAATTTTAACCTTTAGGTCAGCAGGCAAACACGGTCTTTCCATACAGTGTGAGTGAAGCTAAATTTTTTAAATCACAGTGAGCATCTACTTGATCTACATGTTCTAGGCCTGAAAAACACCAAAGCATTGACCAAATAAAATTGTCCATTTGCTTGCAGGAGAAAGAGGGGGCTGTCTGTTCTCTTGAAGATTTATACTCTCAAAAACTATCTAGGGTTGTTATGAATTTAGCATTCACTTGATGTTAGTGGGTTTGTTTATTTTTTTGTTTTATAAAGAAATTTGTTTAACTGAACTTTTTTCTAGTGTTATCCACCTAAGGTGTCAGAAACAAAGCTATTATTTTGGAAATCCCACATGGTAAAAGTTGAGAAGAGAATTAGGGAGTTCAGTAAGTGGATCCATCATGGAATTATTTTTAAAGAGGTAATATCTAAGTTAAATGGAAATGAAAAAGAATTAAGTTCTGGTTCTTATGACTCAAAGATAATTTCCTAATGGAAGGCTCATTAAGTACTGATAACTCCCTGTTGTGTTGCTTCATCATGTTTTTCACTTAGAAGGTTCTAAAATGGTAATAAGATATTCCGGTGGTACAATGGCTAAAGCACTGAGCTGCTGACCTAAAGGTTGGCGGTTCAAACCCACCTGCTGCTCTGTGGAAGAAAAGCCCTGGTGATCTGCTCCCTGTAAAGATTACAGCCTAGGAAACCAATGGAGCAGTTCTACTCTGTCACACTGGGTCACTACGAGTCAACTTGATGGCACACAATGACAACAATGACTGTCAAGATTTGTCAACATTAATGGTTCCTACCTCTCTTTTTTTTGGCGGGGGTGGGGCAGGTCAGGTGATCTATTGTGATGCAGAACTGGAAGAATGGGTTAGAGAGAAATAGGACACGAAAAAACAGGAGGAAAACAGGATTTATCCAGACAGGCTCAGGGGCCTATTATATTTAATAGCTAAAACAGAGGAGAGAGAAAGGGGGATAAAAAACAATTGAGCTAGAGCTGGTAAGAGAGCTTAGAGTGTCTGAAGGATGAGAATCAGAGGATCAACCACTGTGGGGTAAATAAAACTGGGGTTGAAGGACTGGGAATTGCTGTGAGTTATGAATGGAATTGTTTTTGATATTTGTCATGTGAGTAAGAATTCAAATTTGTTTTACAATTTTGGGGGGCTAATTGTACTTCCATACGTGATTCATGCAGACTAAGCCACTGGAGGCTCCAAGATTTATCAGGTCTAAATAAGAAAACCTTAATCAGGAGTTCAGTCTTCCTTTTGCTAATTTATAGAGATTTTACTGAAAACAAACTTTCCCTCTCCAGTTTATACCCTTTTACCCCTGAAATGGATTTATAACCCTTAACACTTACATGATGAGGGCTGGCTGGCTTCCCAGATAAATTTGATCCTCTCAGATTAGGTGGTCTTAGTAAGAACAAGATGACAGCAATCACCATCCAGGCCATCAAGATCATGGTAATACTGATGCCATTGTCAGCAGAGGGTCCTGGTACTAAAGACAGAAATGAATTTGTAACACAACCCGCAGCATGATTTTAATAGGTAAGCAGGAAAAATTCTAATGTTCATTAGCTTGAAAACTGAATTAATCATTTCAAGAAGTATACTTGCAAAATATTACATCTTTAATTTCTCTTCCTTTCAGTGAGTAAACCTAAATGGTGAACAAAGTTGAAAAGTCCTACACACACGTGGGCCAAAGTTTATCACATGAAGGTTTTAAGAGTTCAACAGTTCTTAAATATTTGGGTGGGGTGGTATTAACAGAACCCTTTGAAAATCTGATAAAAGTATGAACTCTTCCCACTAGCAGAATGCAAATATGTACAATGGGTTACTAACTCATCCATAAAGAAGAATGAACACACAAAACATCCTGCAATGTAGATGAACCCGAAGGTCATGATGCTGAGTAAAATTAGGCAATCACAAAAGGACAAACGTAAGATCTCATTTTTAGGACATTACGAGAGTAGTTGTTGGGTGTCATTGAGTCAGCCTGAGTCACAGATACCCTGCATACACCAGAACAAAACACCGCCTGGTCCTGTGCCATCCACACATGCTCACTGGTGGTTATCAGGACTGACGAGGAAGGAGATTCATTCTCTATTCTAGCTAGGAGTCAATTTTGTTTATGATGAGAGAAAAAGTATGTGAAGTATGAACACCTTAACTAGTGTAGCTGATGATACTAAGATGTATACATGAAAACAGATGTAGTGGCAAAGTCTGTATTATATATGCAAAACAAACAAATATATACACACCTAAGTAAAACAAAAAGAGGTTACAGATATTTATTCTTTTTTTTTGCATACTATTCCTGATTTTACTTTATTTTTTGTTTGTTTGCTTTTTAAATCATTTTATTAGGGGCTCATACAACTCTTATCACAATCCATACACACATCAATTGTGCAAAGCGCATTTGTACATTCACTGCCCTCATCATTCTCAAAACATTTCCTCTCCACTTAAACCCCTGGCATTAGGTCCTCATGTTTCCCCTCCCTCCCCACTCCCCCCTCCCTCGTGAGCCCTTGATAGTTTACAAATTGTTATTTTGTCATATCTCGCCCTGTCCGACGTCTCCCTTCACCCACTTTTCTGTTGTCCGTCCCCCAGGGAGGAGGTCACATATAGTTCCTTGTAATCAGTTCCCTCTTTCCTACCCACTCTCCCTCTACCCTCCCTGTTTCGCCACTCACTCCACTGGTCCTGCAGGGCTCATCCACCCTGGATTCCCTGTATTTTCAGTTCCTATCTGTACCAGTATACATCCTCTGGTCTAGCCAGACTTGGAAGGTTGAATTCGAGTCATGGTAGTGGGAGCGGGGAGGAAACATTTAGGAACTAGAGGAAAGTTGTATTTCTCATCATTGTTACATCGCACCCTGACTGGCTCATCTCCTCCCCAAGACCCCTTTGCAAGGGGATCTCCAGTGGCCTACTAATGGGCTTTGGGTCTCCACTCCGCACTCCCCCCATCATTCACTATGGTAAGATTTTTTGTTCTGATGATGCCTTATACCTGATCCCTTCGACACCTCGTGGTTGCATAGGCTTTCTTTCTTTTTTTTTTTAAATCATTTAACTCTTTATTAGATAGAAACATCAAAACATAAACCTATTGTTTCACTGTATATCCTACATGTAGATCTACAATTTTTGGGAAATGGTCTTTCCATCTTTCTTTTTTTTTTAAATCATTTTATTAGGGGCTCATACAACTCTTATCACAATCCATACATACATCAATTGTGTACAGCGCATTTGTACATCATTCTCAAAACATTTTCTCTCCACTTAAACCCCCGACATTAGGTCCTCATTTTCCCCTCCCCCCACCCCCTCCCTCACAAGCCCTTGATAGTTTATAAATTGGTATTTTGTCATATCTTGCCCTGTCCGACATCTCCCTTCACCCACTTTTCTGTTGTCCGTCCCCCAGGGAGGAGGTCACATATAGTTCCTTGTAATCGGTTCCCTCTTTCCTACCCACTCTCCCTCTACCCTCCCTTACAGAAGGGTCACAGGGAGGAGACGAGCCAGTCAGGGTGCAGTATGAATGAAACATACAACTTTCCTCTAGTTCTTTAAACCTCCCCCTTAAATCCCCGCCCCCCATCATGATCCCAATTCTACCTTACAAATTCAGCTAGACCAGAGGATGTACACTGGTACAGATCAGAGCTGGGAACACAGGGAATCCAGGACCCCTCAGGGCCAATGCGAGTGCAGACACCAAGAGGGTAAGGGGAAAGTGGGGGAGAAAGGGGAACCGATCACAATGATCTACATATACCCCCTCCCAGGGGGATGGGCAAAGTGAGACATTGGACAATATAAGACATAACAAAATAATAATAATTTATAAATTATCAAGGGTGAGGGAGGGAGGGTTGGGGCAGGAGAGGGAAAATGAAGAGCTGATACTAAGGACTCAAGTAGAAAGAAAATGTTTTGAGAATGATGAAGGCAACAAATGTACAAATGTGCTTGACACAATGGAGGTATGTATGGATTGTGTTAAGAGTTGTATGAGCCCTCCCCCCCCAAAAATGATTTAATAAAGAAAAAAAAATTTACTTCAATTATCACCAAGCCCCCATTTTTGCAGGATCTGAAAACATACTATACATAATTTCATTTTTAAAAGTAAACAATTTTCCAACTGAACAGCAATATATATATTAATAAAAAAGGAGCTACAAAATATATATTATTACTTTACGGGTGAAAAAAGTATTTAAGAATTTGGCTCTCAGCATGGATTTTGACCAAATGCTAAAAGTCCTGGGGAAAGGAGAGACAAAAATTGTCAATAAGAAAAAATAAATAAAAAAGGAAATTAATATATAGACAAAGAATCCTGCCTTTATATTTAGATTAAGGAAGTGAAATTTTATTCAGATATAAAGAGTCTATCTGGTTACAGGCAGAGCTTGGTCAAGGGTCACAGGTAAACAAGATTATAATCAACACTTGTTTTCTCATTAGGAGTCCAGTAAGATTAGTTTTCAACTAGGAAAGCAGGTTTTAGTTTTATGTGCTGACTGGCTTCTCAGAGGTTATACAATATAGAGGTCAAAGGCAGATATGGGAGAAACAACATACAGGAATGTGATCTGGGGGAACCGGGGAACCACCACCCATCATCATTCTAACAACTTGGGGCAATGTCTACGTATTTCCTTTCTGGCTTAAGGGATTCTTTATCATAATAATCCAGTGACACCAGTTGACTACACTCAAATTTCTACTTCGGGCTAGATATTGCATTAGCTCTTCTTCCAAGTTACCATATTACCAAAGTTGATGGGCTGCCCAGTTCAGACCAGGAATTCATGTGTAACAAGCCCTTTCACACTGTGTTTTTAGTTTCATGGATATAAAGTAGAGTTCAAGTTTAGAGATGTTAAGTATAAAAACTAGCCCATTAATAAATGTAAGTTGGCAATATGTCAAAAAGCTTAACATGTGCACATGTTCAAACTGCTGTTTCAAATAGTATTAACAAACAGAGAGAAATAATCTAAATGTTGGTGTATCACCAAATAGTTTTATTATTTGGTCATTAAATGTTTTTAACATAAAAATATAATGATACCAGAATTTCCTGTATCAGAACCAGCTGGCAACAGTAAGTCTAAAGCATAGATGAGAAGCTTTTAGGGCAGTGAGAAGTCACTGGTGAAACAATATGGAGTGAGAATGGTGACACAATGTGCAGAATGTCACCAATGCCATGAAACGATGCACTCACAGAACTGTTGGATGCACTCAGGTCACAGCTTGACTAGAGACTACGGATATAAATGACTCTCTGGAGGCAGGCCTCTCTCTCTCTTTGCTTCATCTTCCTGTGAACAAGCCATGCGGAGCCACGCTGAGACCTGAGAGAGTCCTGGAGATGTTTCCACTGCCACAGGATCCAAAAGACTTTGAACTCACTGGCCCATGATCATCCTGCATTTTGCAACATTACATGTGTTACGTGAATCTAAAGAGGGATTTATGGCTTCATGTTAGACTTACAGGCTAATATTTGATTTATGGACTTGATATTGAACTGGGATGGGATGTTTTCTTAATATAAAATTATTCTTTGATATAAAGCTCTTTCTTGTACATATAAAATAAAAAAGAACTGTTGGATGGGTTCATAATATGATATGAGGTATATATTTTCACCGATAAAATATTTTTCAGAGATATCCTGATACATTTATAACAGTAGTTTACAAAGTCTGAAAAAAACAAATAAAACATGTGTCAGTTTGTGGTTCTGTGTTGCTGTGACTCTGGAAGCAATGTCACTGGTATTTCAAATGCCAGCACGGCCACCCAAAGTGAGCAGGTTTTACCAGAGCTTACAGACTAAGAACAGACTACGGAGGAGGAGGAACCGGCTGTCCATTCTGAAGAATTAGCCACTGAAAACCTTATGGATAGAGGCAGAATCTTGCCAAAGATAGTGCTTGAAGATGAGCTCATTAGACTGGAACCAACACACCAAACTCATTGCCATTAAGTTGAGTCTAACTCATGATGGCTCTGGGGCAGCACAGAATTAACTGCCTTTGTAGGTTTCCAAGACTCTTTACAGAGGTCCCATCTTTCTTCCAAGGAGCAGCTGGTGGTTTCAAACTTCTGACATTGCAGTTAACAGTCCAACCTACAATCCCTATGCCACCAGCACTCCTTCCAGTCAAAAAAAATTTTTTTAAACATTTTATTAGGGGCTCATACAACTGTTACCGCAATCCATACACACATCAATTGTGTAAAGCGCATTTGTACATCATTCTCAAAACATTTTCTCTCCACTTAAACCCCCGACATCAGGTCCTCATTTTTCCCTTCCCTCCCCGCTCCCCCCTCCCGCATGAGTCCTTGACAGTTTATAAATTGGTATTTTGTCATATCTTGCCCTGTCCGACATCTCCCTTCACCCACTTTTCGGTTGTCCGTCCCCCAGGGAGGAGGTCACACACAGTTCCTTGTAATCAGTTCCCTCTTTCCTATCCATTCTCCCTTTACCTTCCCTGTTCTGCCACTCACACCACTGGTCCTGTAGGGCTCATCTTTCCTGGATTCCCTGTATTTTCAGTTCCTATCTGTACCAGTGTACCTCCTCTGGTCTAGCCAGAGTTGCAAGGTCGAATTCGAGTCATGGTAGTGGGAGCGGGGAGGAAACATTTAGGAACTAGAGGAAAGTTGTATTTCTCATCGTTGTTACATCATCCAGTCAAAATTTGACTGAGGAAGAATTGCCTTCTTAAATTAGAGTCAGCCTTATATAATGTCATGGATGGAGTAAAGCCTTTGGGAATAAAATCTTGGGGATCTTCATTTGCTGAGGGAGTATTACTCAAAATAAGAAACAGCTGCAAACATCTATTAATAGGTGAAACTGGGAATGTATGAAAGCAGAGAATACCAGAAAAATGTTTACTTGTCTTTTACTGACTATGCAAAGACATTCGGCTGCCTGGGTCATAACAAACCATGGATAGCTTTGAGAAGAACAGGTATTCCAGAACACTTCATTGTACTCCTGCATAACCTGTACATGGACCAAGAAGCAGTTGTGCAAACAGAACAAGGAAATACTGCATGGTTAAAATCAGGAAAGGTATTAAAAAAAATCAGGAAAGGTGTGAGCCAGGATTGTATTCCCTCACCATACTTATCCAATCTTTCTGTTGAGCAAATAATCAGAGAAACTGGATTATAAGAAGAAGGATTCAGCATCAGGATTGGAGAAAGGCTTACTAACAACCTGCAGTATGCTGATGACACAGCCTTGCCTGCTGAAAGTGAAGAGGACTTGAAGCCCTCGCAGATGAAGAACCAGGATCGCAGCCTTCAGTGCAGATTACAACTCAATGGAAAGAAGACCAAAATCCTCACAACTGGACCAATAGGTAACATCATGATAAATGAGAGAAGATTAAAGTTGTCAAGGATTTCATCTTGCTTGAATCCATATTCAATGCTCATGGAAGCAGCAGATATCAAACGATGTATTGCACTGGGTAAATCTGCTGCACAGTATTTCTTTAAAGTGCTGAAAAGCAAGAATGCTACTTTGAGGACTAAAGTGTGCATGACCCAAAACATTGTATTTTCCAATACCTCATATGCATGTGAAAGTTAGAGATTGAACAAGGAAGACTGGAAAAGAATCGATGCCTTGAATTTTGATGTTAGCAAGGAATATTGCAAGAACCACGGACTTCCAAAAGAACAAACAAAACTGTCTTGGAAGTACAGCCCTAATGCTTTTTAGAAGCAAGGGCGATGAGACTTCTTCTCACATACTTTGGAAATGGTATCCGGAAGAGACTGGTCCCCAGAAAAGGACATCATGTTTGGTAAAGTAGATGGGCAGTGAAGAAGAAGAAGGCCCTGAAGGAGGATTGACACAGGGGCTGTAACAATGGGACCAAACGTAAGAACAATTACGAGGATGGTACAGGCCCAGGCAGTATTTCCTTCTGTTGTTCAGAGGGCTGGTAAGAGTCAGGAGTGACTCGACAGCACCTAACAACAGTCAAAAACAACGCACACAACAAGATCTCATTTTCTAAGTATGTGAAATGTAATTGTCCTGGCCCTTCATCATCCTGTGAGTATCACGCTTCCCTTTTTACAGTCAAATTGTTAAGACACAAGAATGGACTGTTATACATGCTACATATCTGTTGGCCTCAAAGCATGTCTCAGGTTATTTTTGAGTATCTGTAGAAGAATGGGCACTCCAATGTGGACTGTATGGATCTGACACAGTGTGTGCTGACTGAATGTCAGCACCATTCACCATGCATGATCTTCTTCCTGCCCTGTCTTTCACTTTACCATTGCCACTCACATGGTCTCATGGGAACATGAGCCAGAAGAATGAGCTGCACAGACACCCAAAGCTGGCCAACGGATACAAATGGATGCTGGGGAAAGGTATGTGGTTTTTGCTGGTAGCCTTCATGTGCCAGTTCGAGGCTCAAAGTGCCTAAATATAAAAAAATGTGCCAAGATAAGGGTTTGGAAGGGTACACACCAAGTTGCCAAGTGATTATTTTACATGATAGTATTCTTGAGTTTCCCCTTCTTTTTATCAGTAATTTTATCATTTTCTTCAATAAGCAGATTTTGGTTTTGAGGCAGGAAAAAAACAACTTTGCAAATTAAAAATGAAAGATTAAGTGACAAATATACTACACACTATTGAGAAATATTTCCATAAAGAGACAGTCATATGAGCAAACATTCAGTCAGAAGTACTACAATTCTCCCGCAAACCTAAATCTCCTCCTGCCCGTGTTACTTACATTCCTGAAGACACTCTGTGTCTGTGCAGTAGGACTGCGACTGCCTCAACTGCAAAGAAAAAGAGGAAAGTCAGCCATTGGATGCGACCAAAACCAGACAACTGTTGAAAGACTCTGTTCTGATTTTAATGAAGGCTACAATGTAAACAGCCTGGTGGCACAGTGGCTACCCACTGGGCTGAGATCTGATCTAAATCCAAGAGAAACACAGACTACATGAAAGGGCTCCTCATTTTGAGTAGACTTTTTCTACTCAGAATAATTTTCAGATGTACTGTAATCTGATACAAGTCATCAATCTAAATCAGTATTTCCCGCAGTGGGAGATGCTAACCCCTGAATGACACTGGAATGACGGGGGAAAGTGTGTGTGTACAAAAGCAGATACCTACACCTTATCCTAGATTATAAACTATAGCACAAAAGTTCTTCATTGCAAGGGGGTCTGAGTAGTTTTTTCTGAAAAGGGGACGATGGGCCAAATAAGTTTGGGAACCCATCATCTACAGTTATTGTCTTATGTAAGGGCTTTACCTCTCCTTCCTCACTAAGTGACAAGGCTTAGAACAGTTGTCCCAATAGGGCAGAAGAGAATTGCCCGTGTGTTTCCAAGACTGTAAAGCAGGCGTCCTTAAACTACGGCCCACGGGCCACATGCAGCCCGCTGGGTGCTTGTGCCCCATTTTGTTGTTTTACTTCAAAATAAGTTATGTGCAGTGTGCATAGGAATTTGTTCATATTTTTTTTAAACTATAGTCCGGCCCTACAACGGGTCTGAGGGACAGTGAACTGGCCCCGTTTAAAAAATTTGAGGACCCCTGCTGTAAATCATAGCTTCCCAAACCTATTTGGCTTACTGCCTCCTTTTCAGGAAAACAAACTACCCAGCACTCCCTGGCAACTAAAAACTGTTATACTATAGCCCACAATCCAGGATAAAGTTTAGCTATCTACTTTTAAAGCCCCACTGGATGGTTCCAACATCCCCAGGGGGTGGTATTGCCCACTTTGGGAAATATTGATCTACATTTTTTTAAAAAGTAGAAGTACTAGAAAGAGTTCATTAATAAGTTTATTAATACATAATTTTATGAGTTTTTCTTCTGTTTGAAAATCAGAAGCACATAATGAAAAAGTAAATTCTATTTCAGAAAACAAACCTTTGGTGGGGGTGGGTGGGAATGAACCTTTGGGGGTTGAGGAACCCAAGTATGCAGGAGGGGGCAGGGAGCACTAGAACTAATGATGATTACACAACAAAAGTGGGTGAAGGGAGACATCGGACAGGGCAAGATATGACAAAATAATGATTTGTATATTATCAAGGGTTCATGAGGGAGGGGAGAGTGGGAAGGGAGGGGAAAAAATGAGGAGCTGATGCCAGGGGCTTGGGTGGAGAGCAAATATTTTGAGAATGATGAGGGCAATGAATGTACAAAGGTGCTTTACACAACTGATATATGTATGGATTGTGATAAAAGTTGTATGAGCCCTTAATAAAACAATCAAAAAAATCATTTTATTGGGGGCTCTCACAGCTGCTATCACAATCCATACATTCATCCATGATGTCAAGCACATTTGTACATATATTGCCATCATCATTTTCAAAACATTTTCTTTCTACTTGAGCCCTTGGTATCAGCTCATTTTTCTCCCTCCCTCCCCCCTGAACCCTTGATACTTTATAAATTATTATTTTCATGTCTTACACCAACCCTTCCCCCACTTTTCTGTTGTCTGTGCCCGAGTGTGGTTATACGTTCATCATTGCGATCAGTTTCCCCTTCCTCCCCCCACCTTTCACTTACCTCCTGTTATCGCTACTATTTATTGGTCCTTACGGGTTTATCTGACCTGGATTCCCTGCGTTGCAAGCTCGTATCTGTACCCATGTACATGCTTTGGTCTAGCTGGATGTATAAAGTAGAACTGGGGTCATGACAATGGGGAGGAGGAAGCATTAAAGAACTAGAGGAAACAGGTTATGTTTCATCAGTGCTACACTGCACTTGGCTGGCTCGTCCCTTCCTTTGACCCTTCTGTGAAGTGGATGCCTAATTGTCTACAGATAGGCTTTGGATCTCCACTCCACCTGCCCCCTTGTTTGCTTTGATATGATTGATTGTTCTAGGTCTTTGATGCCTGATACCTGATCCCATTGACACCTCATGTTCACATAGGCTGGTGTGCTTCTTCCATGTGAGCTTTGTTGCATCTCAGCTAAATGCTTGTTCATCTTCAAGCCTTTAAGACCCTAGACACTATACCTTTTGATAGCTGGACACCATCTGCTTTCTTCACCGCCTTTACTTATGCGCCCATTTTACATAACTCATTTTAAAAGCGATTTAACCATTAAAAAAAGTTCAAAATTGAATGGAGTAATGATTGTTCAATTCTTCTTGATATTAAGAAGATTAAACTATTGAATTGTATTTATGTGGGTTATGTGCCAATAAAACAGTAAAAACAAATAAAGTAAAATAAAGAAATGAACCTTTGAAAGGTAAATATATATAGATATATACACATATTATTTATATCTACATAAACTAAAAACCATCTCACAAGGCTGGAGAGAATAAGGTAGGGAAATAGATGAGTATCTTTTCATATCATTTTTTTGGAGCTATGTGGTTTTATCAATTTTAAAAGTAAAAAGTTCACCTATCAATGAACATATATCATACAAATGATGACACATCTCTAAAAATGTAAAACAGAGGTGCTGATACAGTAAAGAGGGAAAAAAGCCCGATTCTGACATCAAACCCATTACTCTTTAGCCACACTCTCTCTATTAAAGCAATAACTCATACCTAGCAATTGTTTTGGGAAAGGAATTACAGAACAGTGCTTAGCTGGTTAAGTATAAGCTTGTCAATAAGACAGGTCTAGATTTCAAGTCTGGCTCAGCAACTTTCTAGCATTTCAAGACCATGGACAAGTTATTTAATACTGCTAAGCTTTAGTTTTCTCATCTGATAAAAAAAGTGAAGAATGATAGTACTGTACCTATATTTCAGAGCACTAATGAGAATGGGAATAGATAATTCATGAGAAATATAGTGATAGCCCAAGAAATGTTAGCCATTATTACCGTGCTAAACAAATTACAACCTCATCTAGATGCAGAATAAATCATTTCAAAAGTTACTTGCTAAAAAGATCATGCTTGTCATGTCTATACCATTAAAAATACTCCTGTTTGAACTAGAATTGAAAATTGGATCTTAATGCAAAATTATGTTATACAAGGTATCTTAAGTCTTATTAAATATGAATCAATTTAAAATTTCATATTAAAATTACAGTCCAAAGAAACTGAAAACAGGATGAGTAGGCCCTTGGGTCAAAGAGACCAAAGAACCTTTGCTTTGCACATTTTATTTCAAATTTTATTTCTTCCAATAAGGAAAACCTATACAGAGAGCAAAATTTAAAAGTATATAAGGAAATTCTTTCGAAGGTAAATCTACTCTTCTGTCCTACTGCCTCACTAGCACTGTTTTTCTTATGAATCCCTCTTACATTTTCATAAAGTTCTTTCCCCACCTGCAAACAGCACTGTATATGTATAAAAAGAACTATCAAATAAGGAGTAAAGAACACTTTCCAACTCAACTGATTATGCTAAATTTAATCTTTAGCTAAGGCATATCATACTCCAAAATCTATAGCTGTGATCTAAATGACCAATGAATACCAGTTCTCTTGCACATTACCAAAACGAAATTCAGTGCCGTAGAGTTGGTTCCAACTCATATAGCAACCCTATGGAACATGGGAGAAGCAGATCTGCCCCTGTGGGTTTCTGAGACTGTAACTCTTTATGGGAGTAGAAAGCCTCACTAGTGGCTGGTGGTTCTGAACTGCCGACCTTATGGTTAGCAGCCCAATGTGTAACCCACTACAACACCAGGGCTCCTGATGTGACTAAAATATCAGCCTTAACTTTGGGTTATACCAACAGCTCTGTATGAAATACTGCCCTTGTCTTGAGCTCTGATGTGCTGGTTATCTGTAGTTTAACAAACAACTATAAAGAACATGATTTCCAGGTGAAAAGCCCAAGAGTCTTTACACATTCATCTGCTCACATTCTATTTCTATGTGTGGCCACATCACTAGCTCTAGATCCTTTTTTTCAGTAATACCTTCCCTGCAGTGGGTAGACAGACGTAGGGTCCACCAGAGGCTCATTGTGTCCTGTCCCCCCCACCCCCTGTCCCCGTCCCTTCCCTGTGACTATCCAAGGAACCCTGATGGTACAGTGTATTCAGCAAGGCTGGCAATCAAACCTACCAACTGCTCTTTCTTCCACTGATACACGAGGAGCGAGAATCAAACTCCTCATCAGCCCAAGGTCAACTGCCATCAGGCAGAGATCAGACATACCCACCATCCTTAGTCTATCCTAACACCAACCTGCCTTTCCCTGGCACGCCACTTCTCTGTTGGGTCTGACTGGGCCACACAGAACTCACCAGCAATACTTAGATTATGGGAATTGATTAGGGAAGCTAACAGGTTACTAAATGTTAAAGATAATGGTTCTTTTGCCTACAATGCCATTTCTCAGCCATGCTTAAAGGCATGCCTCTCACTGGTCCTAGGCCTCTCAGCCAATGTGGCCCTCTGCTCTGCCTCATAGTCTTAGTGCTGTGGCCTCTGGTGCCTCTGCCACTTCAGACAGGAATTTCCCATACACTCCACTCGCAGCTCTTCTTTCTTGATGGTCATAGGATTCTCTGTTCTTGCTTTCAAGATGGCTCACTCTCATACCCAGCAGAATGACAAAACTGACCAAGGCCCAAGTGAGATATTCAACACTTTATTTATATGCTCCTATTCTATGGATAGAAAAGCCACAGTTGCTATATGCTGGATGACAGTGGTTGGAGGTGACTCTCCATGTCGGGGTTTAGTCTCACTCACATCCTGGCAGGTAAGAGGTCTGTGTTCTACAGTAGCGGTCAGCAAAGTACAGCCTACAAAACAAGCAGCCGGTGTTTGCAAGCAAACTTAAGTGCAGCCATAGCCATT